TTCCGCTTACGTCCGCGACCCCTGGGAACTACCCTAGCAAAAACCTACCTGGAATGGTTAAATGAAATATTAGTAAATTAACAAAAATCTACCTAATTAAAAAAGTGACGATATAAAAATTGTAACTATTTACGACTAGTTTCTTTAAACCGCTTTGCTTATAAATTTAAATATGCAACAGTTGTCGTATCTCCCGCCGGAATTATTATAAGTGAGTAAAATGATTTTTTTTATTTAGAATGACGCTAGATATCACAAAACAGTATTAAACAGATTATCGTAACAAACATTTCATGTCAATACTAAGTGTCATATGAAAGCGAATTCGGCAGTTTCGAGACCGGGGTTAGGTTGGCAGATATAGTACTTCAAATATGATAATATTCATTGTAAGAGCGTCGGTGGCTCAGTGGTTTAAACTCTTGACTTGTAATTTGTTCTTGGGTTCGAATCCCGCCATGTACCAATGTGATTTTTAGAATTTTCATATGTACATAATTTACCCGACGTTCTTACGGTGAAGGAAAACATCGTAATGCACATACCGGCGAAGAAATTCAAAGATATGTGTGAAGTCAACCAACCCGTAGTGTGCCAGAGTGGTTGATTATGGCCTAGTCACCCCTCACTTAGGGCAGGCTTCAATCCCCTCGGTGGGTACGTATAGTGAGCTGGTTATGATGACGAATTGTATGAACCCTAGACCTAACCTAGGTCATTAGCACCCAATGGTCTTGTCTCGTGTGAACGTGCTAACTTTATCTGACCCCAATTATGACGATTTATCAGATTTTCTTTAATTAATGCACTTATTGGCTTCTATAAAGAGAAACCTTAAAGTATGTGCTTATAAAATATTTAGAATATCTATTGAACAGTGAACCTTCACTTGGATACTAAGTGCTGAGGCTTTAGCACTTAGTTAAGTGGTAGTAATGTTCCTGTGCTAGATGGCACGTTAGTTCTTTGGAAAATTCATTTTACTTTTTTTTGACATCTTTTTTTTATAACTGGCCAGTTTTATTGTTATTAAGTGTAATAAATAAATCAGAATTCGGGTTTCTTATTCTTGTGGATGATATTCAAGGTATGTCATATTAATAATAAAAAAAATATGCAATACTTATTCAAAACCCTAGTTTCCTTGTAAATAATTCATTTTATTTGCTTTTAATGCTACCTTTTAGTATTACCTATGATGATTTATTTGGTAATTTTTAATTAATCTTATTTAGAGCGCGGCCACACCTTTGACTTTGGCACAACTGTTTCTCGCTTTGATTCCTATATATGGAGGTACACTACTCGTTTAGTTGTGCAACTAAACAGTTGAATTGGCTACGAAACAATCGACAATCACAACAGTTGTGCGATACTTTAATCAAAGGTGTGCGCTTTTAGTTAGCATTGAAAAGAATCATAAATCAAAGAAATATTTTTCTTTGTTTGTAATTTTCTTAGTAGTGATTCGTAGACTTGCCAACTTCTGACGTCATCACTCAAACTTTTCTCCGAACTGTCTCATTGTCAGCAAACGTACATATCTCTGTAGTTTCTTAGAATTTAAAATACACGATCGATGGTTGTTTACTATTTTTCAGTACACTGAAGATTTTATTTATAACTTTATCTAAACAAGAAGTTACAACGCAAAAAACTGCGCAAACACTACATCTTCTTATCAACAGATCTACAAGCAAAATAGATAGATTAGTTACGAATGTATATTTTATTTACATATTTAGGATCATCGTACTAATATAAATGCGAAACTTTAGTTGGATGGATGTTTGTTAGAATTTGTGGCCTAAGCTATTGAACTTGATTAAGTTTAGTATAGATGTAGAGGACAGTCCGGCCCTGAGGACAGAGTCGCGAGCGATAGCTAGTATAAAAATAAATTTATAAACAAAATATTAAAATCGAACAGCTAGTCTAACAATAAAAAAACGTCTCTGGTATATCTCTACATATAAGTTCAACTAGATATATGCCTCTCAGGTTCTAATATAGCAAAGTCGCCGCGTGCTCGCCGCGTACGCACCGCGTCTATGTCGCAGTCGACGAAGCGCACCGCGGCAGAAAGCATATTGCACGCCGACAGACGCACTATCTACACCGCCGGCCGCCCGCCCTGGTACAACTGCACAGGCGGCCAGGAGGTCGAGCCCTTCCTTATAGGTGAGTTCAGTTTCTTGTCTATGGCACTCCCTTAGCGTATTGGGCCAGTGTTCTTGTTTGGAACAGTTCGGAATAGACTGACAATAACACTAACAGTGGTAGAGCCCACTTTAACATCTTCGAATGGGTCGGCTCGCCTGGTATACCATGACCACACAGAAGACAGGCGTGAAATGGAAGCAATTCCGCGTTTTGTCTGATGGGCTTTCCGTCCTGACCTTTGTCTTATGTAGTTCCTTATATATGACCTCACAGGACCCAGCATAACCTTACAAATTGCACCTAACATATTATACTCGAAAGCAACAAAACAGAATATCGTATGACAACCTCACTTAACACACCTTCATAGAAAACCTCACATAAAAGGACCTGACATAACCTCACAAAATACCATCTCAAGCAGTACCTCACGTGAAAAGTTTACATAACTCAACGTAAGCCACAAAAACAGAACCCCACGTGACATAACCTCATACAAGATCTCACAGAATAAAAAACTTAATCCGTAGTGCACTATGCTTGGCTAGTGCAATTGATCAGTAACGCTTAATAACTGGACTGCGATGAGACTGGCATAATGTGAACACCAACTGGCAGCAGTAGGTCCATACAATCATTGACTGGCCGGTTCAACTGTCGAACTGTACTGTCCAAGTGTGAACCGCGCATGAATATTAAATAACTGTTTTGTATTACAGGTATTTGTGGCGCTAGTGCGTCAGGTAAAACCACAGTTGCCGCCAAAATTATCGAATCTCTAAACATACCCTGGGTCACCATTGTCAGTATGGACTCCTTTTATAAAGTGAGTAGCAATCAACTAGCTACCTTTATTACACCAACATTCAACCTAAAAGTGTATTACCCAAAGCATAGACCAGGGATGGGGAACCATAAATTGCACACGACTTAATAATATTCGATAATCTTAAAAACACGAAAAAAATATGAATTATGTGCATTGGGAATGACGTAATAATCGCAGTCAAAATTATTCAATAACACTTCTAAGACAGCTTGAAGATTTCTTGTAAAAAATGGCACTGATGCATAAATGTTCGCCACCCCTGACATAAACAATCAAGAATCATTCACTCTCAATCATTCAGTGGTAATGAATGAAACAGGCAGCTGTGTTTAGGTGCTGAACGAGAAGCAGCACGTGGCTGCGCAACGCAACGAATACAACTTCGACCATCCGGATGCCTTCGACATGGAGCTGCTGGTGCGCGTGCTGCAGCGCCTGAGGGAGGGCAAGAAGGTCGAAGTGCCCATTTACAACTACGTCACGCATTCCAGGGAGAGCCGCACTGTGAGTTATGGAATATATGAATTCTTAATCCCCAATTAACTATTGATAATAAAGATTGTGTTATAGAAAACGATGTACGGCGCGAACGTGATAATCTTCGAGGGTATTCTGGCGTTCTACAACGCGGATGTGGTGCGCATGCTCGATATGAAGGTGTTCGTCGACACGGACGCGGACATACGCCTCGCCAGGCGCCTCAGACGGTAACACAAATATTTCAACCTTTCCTTCCGTTTTTACCGACATGCCTCTAACTTTCCTACCACTATCACTGACACCGCTTTATCTTTCCCTCGTGTCTACTTTCCTTTCGTTCTCACCGACATGTATCAACCTTTTATTGCCATTCTCACCGATATATATTAATCTTTCCTTCCATTCTCACTGACATGCCTCAAACTTTCCGCTCTCACCGACATGTCCCAATCTTTCCTACCACTTTCGTTGACACGCTTCAAACTTTCTTGATTTATCTTTTTCATTACTATTTCATCCCCTCTAGTTTTTTAAAAGACGTTTAGAAGAAAGTTTTTCCGACTTCACTAAGTG